CTACGCATATCCGATATTACCAATAAAGGTTCGTTTAGACGATTATAAATCCAAGGCCGCTTCCGCACATATTTGAAATAATTTTTAAGCGCCGATTTTTATTAAAAATCAGTGATCTGTTCAACCCCCTTCTAGATTATTGCCATCGTCTAAGACTATCAACCAACCTTAGCAACCACATCATAACATGATCACAACACTCAACCCCTTCTATATAAGGTATAAAAAGCCATTCTTCTACCTTCTTTCACACCAGCTTGATTTTGGGACACGCAAAAAACACATGATCCCTCTCCTCAGCAACCGAAAAATAGAACACGCATGTCGTTTCATGGATATTGTTTATGACCCTTCTACGCACCAAATTCATCCAGGTAGGTAACATGTCAAGTAATAAACGCCAGCCAAACAGTTTTAATTTCAAAGGTATGCAAGTGTTCCACGTAAATTTCAATGTTAGCTTTAACTCTGGTTTCATCGCAGGCTGGGCAGCATCTAATAACAAATAGTTATAGCAACTTTTGACAGTATAATACTTTTTTGGATCCAGCCCCCAAACTTATGAATCCTTCTCAACCATCATGGGATGAACCTCTGTCAAACGCTACAGCAGCACAGAAAAGTCGTCCCACAAACAACTTCCATCTTCCACTTTCGTGATACCAAGCCCCCACTTCCAAACAACCCCTTCCCAAACCCCCATCTCATTAATCATCCCATCTTTTCTATTTGATGCCTCATATAGTGCGGGAAATTCAGACATAAGGATAGAAGGTCCAATCCATCTCGCCTTCCAAAATAGAATTCCACTACCCGCCCCGAGTTTACACACAACATAATTATTGAAATGAGATCCTTCCATTGCATTTCCCACCTTCATTAGGTCCCTCACCACATATAATTCTTCCTATCACTGCAACTACCGTCATTTCTCAGAATCCTAGTTGCAAAATTTCCATATCTAGCTTCTAAAATACCTTTCCATAAAGCCTAAGGTTCAGATAGAAACCACCAAAGCCATTTGGTTACCAAGGCCGCATTAAACATACCTACATGCTTGATCCTAACCCCTTTTTATTCTTTTGATTTGCAGACCGATTCCCAATTCATCCAAGCCAAGCTCTTTTTGCTCGCATCACCAGACCAAAAGAAGTTGCGTTGCATTGAGATAAATTTCCTCACCATCTGAGTTGGGACCTTAAAGAAAGAAAGATGATGTATTAGTAGATTCATGATCACGAAGTTAATCAAGGTTACCCTCCCCCCGATGGACAATAATCTTCCCTTCCATGTAGACAACCGAGCCTTAAAACATTATATTATTGGATTCCAAAAGGAAATCCTTCTATGATTCCCTCCAATGGTTATGTCAAGGAATTTGGATGGTAGACACCCTGATCTACAAGCTAAGAACGTCTATGTTGCCTTCAAGAAATAATCATCAATACCCACTCCAAATAAGCAACTCTTCATGAAGTTGATCTTTAAACCTGATGCCATCTCAAAGCCCCTTAGTATAGCCTTTATCCCCCATAGGTTCGACCATTTACCATCACATATCAATATTGTATCATCAGAAAATTGTAACAAGTTATACGACGTTTCGCCATCTAGCTTAAAATCTTGTAGAATGTTGCAGTTTTCCGCTCTTTTAACTAATGTTGCCAACCCTTCCACCACCATTATGTATAGAAAAGGCAATAAAGGGCCACCTTGTTTTAACCCCCTCGATGCCTTAAAATACTCTGTAGCACTTTCGTTAACCATAACCGATAGAAAACTATGAAACACACCCCCTTTAATCCATTTTATCCACTTCTTCCCAAACTCCCATTGCTACCATCAATTCCTCCAAATACCCCACTCCACGCAATCGTACACTTGTGTGAAATCCACCTTGAACATCAAGCAACTATGCTTCCTCCTCTTTGCCATATCTAGTATTTTGTTAGCCACGACAATACCGTCTAGCAACTATCTACTGGGGATAAATGCCGATTGGGAATTAGAAATCTACTTACCAATCACTCTATTCAACCTTGTTACCAACAACTTTGCTATTATCTTGTATATACTACCAATAAGGTTGATAGGTTTGTACTCCTCCAAGGTTTGAGGGTTTTCCAACTTTGGAACTAGCGCGATAAAGGACGAAAGAAGCGCATTTGGCATTTTAGCAATGGAATAGAAATCTTGCACACATTTAAAAATATCATTAACAACCACTTCCCAACATTTATTTATGAATCCAAGATTGAACCCGTACGGACTCGGACTTTTATTCCCGTCGCAGCCCATCACAGCTTTGTGAATCTCTTCTACAGAAAATGGGACCTCCAAATACTCCTGATCCTCCTTACTCAATTTCTTAATACTAGACAAATCCATGGATGGTCGTTTAACATTGATACACTGAAACCTTAACTTAAAGAAATCCTTAACTTTTTTCTTTACAGAAACCATACCATCAAGCCAAACATCCCTACTTTTTACAGTTGATATAAATTTTTTTCCTAGTTCTAACTTTTATCATAGCATGAAAAAAACGAGTATTGAGATCACCCTCCAATGTCCACTTACTCCTTGATTTTTGTTTAATAATATTATTCTTGGTTTGAAGCTTACTTCAAACCTCCTCCTAAACCTTGCATTTTTTAATCAAACAATCTTCAGTAGGGGTCACATTTGCTATAGTCAAATCTGCCTCAATAACGTTCAGCTTATCCACACTTTCCTCAATTCTCAAGTCTACCCAACCAAATATATTCTTATTCCACCACCGAAGTTTGTTTCTCAACCTTTTCAGTTTTTCCTTAAGAATGTGGCCAATAGTACTCGAAACCTCCATCGAATTCCATATTTCCTTAACAAACTCAAGGAACTCCTGATGATCAAACCAACAATTCATCACCTTAAACGGTTTAGGGCCCCAATTCACCTTATTTGACTTAACCCATATCGGCATATGATAAGAGGTATCCCTATCCCCATAACTTGCGTCCTAATATTCCAATTGTAGATTAACACATATGACACAACAGTTGTATCCAATCGACTTTTGCACCTATCATTGGAACTAAACCAAGTGAAATGATTTCCCACGACTGGTAAATCAACAACATCCATAGCATCTATGAATGCAACAAACTCCTCCATTTCCATAATTTTGCCACACCCCTTCCCTCTTATTTCCTCCCTATTTTTAACACCATTAAAATCCCCTCTAAGAAGCCAACCTCCACAAAGAAGCTTCATGTTCCACTCTAGAAGTTCATGCCACATCTCTCTCTCTCTCTCTCTCTCTCTCTCTCTCTCTCTCTCTCTCTCTCTCTCTCTCTCTCTCTCTCTCTCTCTCTCTCTCTCTCTCTCTTATCCTTTAAGCAACATGAGGAGTACACATTCATCATGTAAGAATTTAGACCTTTCCAGAGAAAATTTGTGCCTAAGAAACCATTACCCCTAAATCTAAATATTGATTGACAGGCTTCCTTTCTCTACATCGTTAGTAGGCCACCTTACTGGCCAATTGCATCCACTATAGAATACTCGCAATCAACAATTCCCCACAAACTTCAGACAAAATTTTCCTCCATCTGCCGCACCTTGGTTTCCTACAACAAACAAACATCAGCGCTGCCATTACTCAAAATTTGATAGATCCTTCTCCTCTTTAGCGAACTCCCGCACCCTCTAACATTGAATGATATAACATTCATGGACCCCTATTTTTAGCCTCCTTTATCACATTAAATGTTATTCTGTCTCTAGCCTCCATTTCTCTAATTATCACTTCAAACAGTTCATCATCTTCCTCCCCTTAAATCTCCAATTTCTTGATTGTTTGCCAAACCTTTGCAGGAACGTTCTAAGGTTCTTTAGATTTTGGAATTCCCTTGCCTCACATTTGTATCACTTAGCGATTCGCATCACAAGATTGAGCCTTCAGAGTATCTAGACCCTGATTCTTCCACCACATAAGGGCTTTGCAAGGTTCCAGGATGAATCAATGCTTTATCATTGGACAAATTAACATTGTTTGATGCATGTAGAAGTGCTAAGAAATATGAAAGAGAGAAGGGAATCTTGAGGTTAACATATACTTCATTCAACAATTTCTTCTTGGATGGTTTGAACCAATTTGAAGGCCCAATATGCACAACCTAGGTACACGAAATGGGATCTAATATCTCCTTAACCACACCCGCTCTCTATAGAATGAGTATTACTTAAATCCATGTCATCATTATTATCCACCTCATACTCTTTATTTAATGCTGCAACAGAACCTTGTCGTTTGCTATCACGTCATCACAACCCATATTTAATGATTCTGCCAACGCCTTCTTATTTTTACAACCTACGTCCTTTCCAACCAATACCTTTACGCTGACCAAATCAACATTTCCCAAGTCAACCACCCTCGTAGCAACACATGTCCCATCAACTTCCTTGGTTTTTAGGTTTTCTATCGTATTCCTATTGCCCATCGTACTAGAATTTGATACACCAAGAAAGTCTACTCTGCTACCCCCAGACTTCCGTTCGTTGATCTCACCTTCATCCTCGTCATCACTTGTTTCCCATGTGCCGCCTCCTCCTTGTAATTCTGACTCATCTGAATCTTCCTTTGTTCCCTTAATTTTCTTAGGTCCATGAAAATCTTCCACCAGTTTGATCCTATATATTCGAATGTTAATTTCAATGTTGAAACATTTATTAAGGTTCATAGCATATTTAGTTTTAATCATGAAACGTGCAACATCGAAATTTTCTTACATCTTCATCTCTTCGTCACAACAAAAAAACTCCCCCAGCTTTCTTGAGACAAACTTAAAGAAGTTATTGCACCAAGCATGGTAGGGAAGGCCAAAACACTTCATTCAAGTTAATTTTTCATTATCAACATCATTTGGTAACCAAGGGTGGATATTATTAAACCACTGCATAATACAATCCTGCTCCTCTTGAACTAAGGTCTAATCGCTCCTTCCTCGAAATCCTCAAGCAAGCATAAACTTTCCCCCCATAGGCGTGACTTTGATGTTGAAGTATCCTTGAGCATGCATTGCATCCTGGAGGTTATATGTATTACCAGCTTTCGAAAACTCTCCCACAAATACCTTATCGAATATGGACAAATTCTCCTTCCCAACATTAAATTGTAGATGGGAAAATGTTAGTTTCTCTTCAATGAGTTCTTTCTTCCATTTTGGCCTTCTTGCTATGTTGTTATCCATCTTGTACCTCTCTTCCAGACCACCGTTGGCTTTTCCTAAAGCCTGTGCATCTGCTTTACTCTGCATTTTTTTATTCCTACTGTAACACCCCAAATTTATTAGAATATTTATTTAATTTATTTAAATATGAATATTCATATTTTTGGTGATTTTTGGTGGTTGGTATGAAATATTGAGAATTATGGATTTTGGGTTATTTATTTAAATAACAGTATATAATATGAATATATTGATATTACTAATTTAAATAAATATAAGTGAGTTAAGGGCAAATGAACATTTGAGGAAGAGTTAGTAAGGGTGAAATTGGAAAGCCCATTTTAAGGCCCAAAGTTAGGTTTAAATAAAAGGAATTTTGAGGGAGTTAGGATTCATTCTTGTTAGACCATGAAAAGAGAAGAAATAGAGGCCAGAGCTCTGAGGAAGAGGATTGAGCCAAAGCTTCGCGAGGTTTCCGAGAATCAAATAAGAAAGGTTTAGAGTCGGCAATTAAGGTATGGGGAGTATTGCCTTCATTGTCTTCAATATGTGTTTCAATGTGTTTAAAGCCGATTTAAGGGTTTAGGGATTTTGAGTGTTGAATTGTTGTTGCCTTTCTGGTGAGTTCAATGAGTTTGAGGGATTTGAACTGATGGTCTGATAGGTTTGAAGCTGATTTAGGAGTAAGGGAAATTAGGCCTTCGTGACCAAAATCTGTTGTTGAGGTTTTAACCGTATAGGGTAATTGATTATGAGAACTTTAACGACTGTGGGATATTTGTATGAAATTTTGGGGATTGGAGCCGTAAATATGGTACAAAATTGGCGTAATAAGTCGTAGATTTTATGCCTTTACCGCCGTAATACCTTAGAAGTGATTGAGGGATGTTTTTGGGGCATTGGGGAAGGAAATCGTAGGGACTTTTGGGCTGGTTTTGCTACTGGTGTATAACAGCGATTTGTTGTAATTGCGAGTTTGCATGGCGAACACTCGCCCCAAACTCGCACAACGAACTTGCTAGCAAACGTAGCATAGTTTTGCGAATTATGTTCTGGTTCAGCGATGTCTTGATGTTTTGATGCTGTGATTTTCCTAATGAATTACCATAAGTATAACTGTGATTCCTATGTGATTAAATGAATGTATGATGAATTACTATGAGTATAGCTGTGATTCCTATGTGATTAATACATGACCGTATGATGAGTACCCATGAGTATAGTTGTGATTCTTATGAGATTAATACATGATTGCATGATGAATCCCCATGAGGAACTGTGATGATTTGTGACGTTGATTCCATGAGATTTTAATGATTCTATGATGACGTGATTCTTATGATTATTTTGATGAATGCTGATGCACCTAATGAGATTATTATGAGGATGATATTGACGTGTGCATCATGCATTCATATGCATTCCGAACTTTGATCTAGGATCTTAATTCTTGTGGCTTCAGTCCCATTGTGCGGATGTGACGTATTTTGTTGTGCTCCGGCTTTCGTGTAGAATCGATCCTACTGTTGTGGATCTATAGAGGGTTGATGGCCCAGTGTCCATCGAATTTTGTTGATTGGTACCACATGCATAAGTCTTGTTGCATTTGCATTTATGTGACAATTTGGTGTAATCTATAATGTTGTGGCCTTTGATGTTCCTTGATGATTATGATGATGTTGAATATGAAAATGACGTTGTTTTATATATTGATTCCTATATTGATTATTATGAATCGTTTTACTCACCTTACCTGTTTGAATGTTGCCTCCACGTGGGTAACGTGCAAATGACCAAGTTTAGCCGTGGATGTTGTCGAGGACTTTTTGAAGTTTTTGGTTCGTTGGCCATTGTGGTAGACTTAGAGGGTCTTGCTCTGATAGTGTAACATCGGGTTGGGATCTTTTGAGTTGAACCATGTTTTATTGATTATTGTTATTTTGATTATGTTGTTGCGCAAGGAAAACTTTGGATTTTGCCTTTTTGAGTTCCGTTGCCTTTTGAGTAATATTTTGAGTAATTTTGGGAAAACCTGTTGTTTACGGAGCATTGACTATATTTAAATTATTGAGAAATATGCGCCCTTTTGAGATGATTTTATTGCGTTCAATATTTTACTCTGGTAAATATGATTGATTTGCCATTATATTTGTGGGGTAGAAAAGAGTGTTACATTAGTGGTAGCAGAGCCTGGTTGGTCTGTTCAGCCAAGTTGTCTAATGTTATTTGTTCCCTAGTATGCGACATGTGTGTGAAAACACTATTGGTACACGTTTGTTTTCTAACATTTGTCTGCAGGAGTGAGATTGAATCAAGTGGGGGAGAGGCTTGTGCTTCTCCAAGATGCTTCAAGTGTGGAGTGGTGGCTCAGCGTGTTGTTGAACGCTATTATAGTTTGGTAAAAGATGGTTTATGCCCCATCATGATTTTTCGGATTTCTATTGACAAATTGAGGAACTGGTCACCCTTAATCTCTTGTTGATAGTAGACGGGGTCATGTTAGATGGAATAGACGTGTCTTGCAAGCTTAGATGGCATGTGCAGTGAATTGTTTTGAGTTAAGCTAAGTGCTTACAGATTGTTTTGGTGAGTCGGTGCAGGATAGTGCTGAGATGTTTATTTTGATGGAAACTTTGAGTGTTAATAAAGTGGGGAAGTTGGTGGTGTGACAGTTATTTGTGATTACCCGGAAGTTTTTCCTAATGAGATAAGTGATTTACCGCCAGAACGTGAAGTGGAGCTTACGATTGACCTAGTTCCTGGGACTAGTTTGGTAGCGATGGTTCTATATCGTATGTCCATATCGGAATCGAAGAAGTTGAAGAATCAACTTGAAGATCTGATTGAGGAGAGGTTCTTTTGTCCAAGTGTGTCACCATGAGGTGCACCAATTTTGTTAGTTAAGAAGAAAGAAGGTTCTGTAAGGCTGGGTGTGGATTATAGACAACTGAACAAGGTGACTATCAAGAATAAGTATTCACTTCCAAGGATTGATGTTTTGATGGATCATTTGGTTGTTGCAAGTGTGTTTAGTAAGATAGATTTGAGATATGGGTATCATCAGATTCATGTGAAGCCTGAGGATATTCCGAAGATAGCTTTTAGGACGAGGTATGGACATTATGAGTATTATGTGATGCCATTGGGTGTGACTAATGCACCATGTGTATTTATGGAGTACACAAACAAGATTTTCCATCCTTATTCGGACAAGTTTGTGTTGTGTTTATTGATGATATTTTGATATATTCGAAGAGTGAAGAGGATCATGTTGAGCAGCTGAAAATTGTGTTATTAGCGTTGAAAGAGAGCAATTGTTTGCAAAACTGTCAAAGTGTGAGTTTTGGTTGAAGGAAGTGAGTTTTCTTGGTCATGTGATCTCGAGTAGAGTCATTGCGGTTGATATGTCGAAGGTTGAAGCTGTATCGCAATGGGAAGCTCCAAAACCTGTTTTTGAGATTAGAAGTTTTCTTGGATTGGCAGGTTATTATCAAAAATTCATTGAAGGATTTTTCCGAGTTATCTTTTCCATTGACGCGGTAGACTAAGAAGGTTCAAGCTTTTGTTTGGATGCAAAGTGTGAAGAAAGTTTCAAGAGCTTTTGAGAAGGCTGACAACAGCTCATGTTTTGATTTTGCCGAATCCGGCAGAACCATATGTTGTATATTATGATGCTTCGTTGCTGGTGGGGAGGTGTATTAATGCAACATCAGCAAGTTTTAGCTTATGCTTCAAGGCAACTTAAAGTGCATAAGAGGAATTATCTGACGCATGATTTAGAGTTGGTTGTTGTTGTGTTTGTATCAAAGCTTTGGAGGTATTATTTGTTTGGTTTAAGATTTGAGATGTTTAGTGATCATAATAGTTTGAAGTATTTCTTTGATCATAAAGAATTGAATGCGAGGCATAGGAGATGATTGGGACTTCTAAAGGATTATGGTTTTGGTTTGAATTACCATTCGAATAAAGCAAGTGTGGTAGCTGATGCATTGAGTAGGAAATCTTCATATATACCGATGATGATGGTAAAAGAGTTAGAGATGATTGAGCCATTTCGTGATATGAGTTTGGTTTATGAAGAGACTTCTTATGGAGTTAAACTTGGTATGTTGAAGCTTACTAGTGTTATTCTTGATGAGATTCAAGAAGGTCAAAAAATCTGATTTGAGTTGGTAGATCGGTTGAATTTGATGGATCAAAGTCGAAGAGCTGGTTTTTGGATTAATGAAAATGGTATCATGAGATGTCTTGATAGAATTTGTGTTCCAGACATTGTTGAGTTGAAAAAGAGTATTCTTGAGGAAGGACATCGAAGTAGATTGAGTATCCATCCCGGTGCTACAAAGAGGTACCAGGATTTGAGGAAATTTTTTTGGCGGCCAGGTATGAAGAAAGATATTACAGAGCTTGTTTAGGCTTGTTTGACATGTCAGAGGATGAAGATTGAACATCAACGACCGTTGAGTCTGATGCAACCGTTGAATATTCCATAGTGGAAATGGGATAACATTTCTATGGTTTTTGTGACAAGCCTACCAAAGATTTTGAAGGGATATGATTCGATTTGGGTGATTGTGGGTAGATTGACTAGATCATCTTATTTCTTACCAATGAGGATTAATTGTTCTATGCTGAAGCTAGCTGAGATGTATATTGAGGAAATTGTGAAGTTGCATGGGATACCATCGAGTATTGTGTTCGATAGAGATTCGAGATCTTCATCGAGGTTTTGGGAGAGTTTGCAAACAGCTTTGGGTACTAAGTTGAGATTGGGTTCTGCCTATCATCCGCAGACGGATGGACATACAGAGAGAATTATCCAATCCTTAGAGGATTTGCTGAGAGCTTGTGTGTTGGATCAAGGTGGATCATGGGATAGTCATTTGCTGTTGATTGAGTTTACCTACAACAACAATTATCATTCTAGTATTGGAATAGCACTGTATGAGACTTTGTATGGAAGGAAGTGTAAGACTCCATTGTGTTGGTATGAGTAAGGCGAGAGTGTTGTACTTGGACCT